ATGGGTGACTGGCACTCCTCTTGCCCCAACAAATTGTTTCTTTGTGGCTCTAATTGATCCCAAAATAAATTCCTCCTGGCTCCCTAATGAAAGGAAATGGCGCGTATTAGCAAGTCCCCTGATTATGTCTTAGGTGAATGCACAGGAGAAGCATTAGGTCCTGGTTCTGCCTGGAGGTGAAGCCGGGGCCTATGCCTGTGCATTGTGGGGCTATTTCCTGAGCAGCCCTGGGGGGAGGGCACAGCCACAGGGGTCATTCTCACCCCCTCCCTTGGGAAGACCCATCACTGTCCCCGACCTGTCCCTCTCAGCCACCCCAATTCAGCATCCCCGAGCCGCCCTCACATCCCCGGTCCTGCGGCCCCAACCTCTCCCTCCCCTGCCGGTGTCCCACACAGATTCTCCGGTACACTGTCAATGGGATGCTTGGCCCCTTGTGTCCTCCCATCCTTGGCTCGCGCTACCCACCTGAGCCTCTCCATGGCCCCAGTCCTACACTTGACCCCCTTAAGCCTGCCCCTGCCCCTCCCTCAGCCTGCTTCCTAGTCCCTGAGCCACGTACCCCATCATTCCCCTGAATGTGCCTCCTCTGGGGCCATCTCCCTCGGGCTGCATACCCGACTTACAGTTCCACGGTTGGGGAGTCGCATCCACGCGGTTGGTTAGTTGTAGCCAGAGGTTGTCTCCTGACGCCATGGGGAGTCCCAGGACCCAGGCTCAACACAAGAACATTGAATGACAGAGAGGTTCCCCATTTCACGCCAGTGCTCCCAAATCAGAAGCGTATGAGGACCCCTGTGTGAGAGCTGAAGATGGTTGGGGTGGGAGGTCTCCCCCAAGAGGCCACGTCTAGTAACACCCTTCCTTCTCCTCTGTCCACAGACGATCCAGCCTGGTCATCACCACCAAGATATTCTGGGGAGGAAAGTAGGTGTAGCCACGGGCTATGCTCCTGGTGGGGGTCAGGTCCAGTGGCCGCAGCCCTGAGCCCAGCCGACACCCCTGATTGAGGAGGCTTCGGGGTGGGGAGAGGGCAGTCGTCATCCTGAACAGGCTGGAGGACAGGAGCCAGGCCCTTGCCGTTTCCTGTCCCCGGGTGCCAGGCGCGGGTGGGCTGGCATTGGTGCAGTCGTCTGCCCTGGCTGGCGCCTGTCCCTAGGAAGGGACATCAAATTCCAGAAAAGCAGCTTCGGCTGAGTTTGTCTTTTATTCAAACCTTGTTTAATTTTTATTTTTACTTTCATGGATTTGTTATTTTTTTCTGATTACAAAGGTAACATTCTAAAATCCTGGAAAACAGAGATGACTCGTGAACTGTCCAAACCACCCTACGTCCCCTGGGCCACAGAACACCCACCCTTCTCAGCCTCCAGGTGTCTAGTCCCATATTCTCTCTGGCGCTGAACAAAATCAGTTTCGTGGGAATTAGAAATACAGTTCATTCTTAATCTTTAAAAAAAAATCCAGGCAAGCAGAAGAGCAAATTGATAAACAGAAGCCTCCCTCCATCCCCACTGCCACCCCTCCTCCCCAGGACAGCTGGGGAGCAGCCCAGGCCTCCCACCTGTGTGACTACACCCCTGTAGCCTCCTGGTTTCATCCCCAAAGTGGACTCAGAGCGCACGTGGCACGGGCTGACCTGCTTTTCTCACCTAACATTTGCATCATAAACATTTTCCCCCAAACCGCTTGCAACATTGCGCACGCTGTCGGCCTGTTTTTCAGAGCGGAGACCGAGAGGGGCCTTTCCAGGAAGCACATAATAGAAGGTGAGGGGCTCGGGCTCCACGGGGGCCTAAACCCACAGGGTCCTCCCTGGATGCAAAAATGGGGATATACACCCCCACCCCCTTCCCATGATAGGCACGGGGCCCCAGGCCTGGGGACACCCAGAGCTCTTGTACCACCCCCTCCTCTGTGTCATGAGGGAGGCGGCAGGGCTGTGGGCAGGGTGGAGCCGGTGTCATCCTGGGATGGACAGTGTTGCCTCCAGGGAGGACACGGCCAAGCCTGGGTTTCCATTCAGTGCTGACCGTGCGTGAGGGACATCACTGCCCAGGGCCTCTGACTCAGCACAGTGAGAGCGCCCGCCTGTGGTCACTGGGGGCAGGGTGCACCCGGGTGAGGGGGGATGTCAGACACACCCCGAGGGGCTCGGCCTGCGGGGAGCACAGCCAGAGGCCGGCCCGCACGTCTCTCATGCTATGTTTTTACTGTCTTCCAACTTCTTCTATCCACGCTCGTTTTCCTCCACAATCAGATGACCGGGAGGCCCTGCCGCGGGCCCTGCCCCTGCCTGTCCCCAGCCCAACGCCCCACCCTGCAGCTCTGTCCTGACCCATTGCCAGGCGCTGGTTCAGGGCATGCATTTCAGATGCCATCGGCCTCGGGTGCGGGAGACGCCACGTGTCCCTCCCACTCCGTGTTGGATAACCTAGCCCTCCCAGTTACCCCACCGGCCACCAGGAAACCGAGGAGGGTCCCCCTTCATTCTGTCACAGGACATCTGGCTTTCCACGACCCCGGGTGGCAATGGCCCACACGTGTCCCCGGACCACCTTGCCCACCTCGTTCCTTTCGTCTCTGGCTCGGGGAGGGCCCAGACTAGTCTGTGATGTTGACCATCCCTCCCGACTCCTCCCCCAGGTCTGAAGGCCTCCCTGGAGCGGCTGCAGCTCGAGTATGTGGACGTGGTGTTTGCCAACCGCCCGGACCCCAACACGCCCATGGAAGGTAGGTGCTCTGCCCGCTGGCCAGAGGTCTGAACCCGAGGCCCTGAGGGCCGCCCGCGCAGGCCCCGCT